TACCTCATTACATGGCAATAAATATTCATAGCGTTATGCAATCTACTTTTTATGTAGCATGCCAAGCAATTATACCATAAGCCCCAACTAAATTACTTTATTTATTATAACAGATTATAATATTTCGAATTAACATTATGACTCTTGTTTATTCTATTTTTTAACAATGTAACTATAAAATGCAAGTATTAGTCATCAACCCACGTACAATAATAATAAAAAACTACAACTATCAAAATACGATACAGTTTCAGCAATAATCTATATAGTTTTTATACTAAAATAAAATAAATGATAGCGTGAATACCAGTAGTATTCACTGTTACTAAAATACTAATGGACATTTCACTTTTCTATTATAATAGAAGGTGAAGCTTAGTTACTAAAGCATTTAAGTCTACATTACAATATGGTATAGCTTTTGAAGCTTTTTTAGCTACAAGACAAATGAGAATAATGATCAAATGTTTATGACACATAGTAAATTCAATACGACCAAAATTGCCAAAGTTACCGTGAATTAATAACGTATTAATTTTAATTTTAATTTCCAGCTACGAAACGAATTTGCCAACAAGTATAATAAAGTAAACCGTAATGAAAATCTTATAAAAGATATAAAATGCAACGGTTGCAATCCTGATATTATATTAAATTTTCTGTATGACTTGGAACACTTTGGTAAATTGCGTTGGAGTTTTGTTCACTTTAAATTTCGAAAGTCAAACTTACTTGGAAAGCACTTCAATAAACTGTCACTCCTACATATTTCCTTAAAGAGATATCGAAACTTTATACCATTTGGAAGCTTACAAATACAATAAAGAATAGTCTTAATATCGTTAAACTATAAATAATTTTCGTTTAAATTCATGAAATGGCAATTAAGTATGAAATATAACCATGGTTTAGTAACGGTTTAGAGTTTAGAAATGAATTTAAACAAATTTAATTAAGATAATTATAATTATTTTTTGGACATTTATTATACACAAGAATTATTCAGAGACTAATTTACCGTACCAATAAACTAAAATTGCTTATACTGATTGTAATATCAGCCACTACCATTGCTATGACATATGTCGAAATGATTAACTATCAAACCTAATATACACTCGATTCTAGTCAGTCAAACTCATCTGGGTTGCTGTTAGTAGTTGCCATTTCCCTGGTTGGTCTCAAATAAAGAGCAACCTAGGACTAGCAGATATCGGTCAAGTATTGATTGTTTGTGTAGAAGTTGTCCAATTAGTACATTAGTCGGAGTACCTCGAGAATTTCCCGCATCTGCGGATGAAATAGTTCTCATACTATACTGTAATGTAACTTAGTATTGTGATTGTAGACTGTTAGCCATGTTTAGTATAACGTACGGTAAATATTTATCCTAAGAGATATTTGGTAGCCATAACTATAGATTGCAGTGGTATAGACTCTATACTAGAGTACAGATGACTATATACAGTAAGGTCTTGAGTTACTAATAAGGCTATAGGTAAAAATAGAACTGTAAATCGTATATTGGGATATGGTCAATTTATTGTACTTTGACCGGTGTGAATAATGTCGACGTAAATACTGTAGTCGTATCCATATTGGATTAATGATGGTCCGCAGTAGAATAGTGTTACTAAGAATAATTTAACTATGTGTAAAATAAGGTAAAAGGTTGTCATGCGGATTGTAGCTGCGAATGCTACAATAAGTATAAAACCATGCAACTTTAGATTATTCTGTTAGTTCGTTCTAGAAATCTTTATTAGTAATATTCGGCTAGAGTAGAGCTGTGTGTAGTTAATCTTTATATAAGATTCAATAAAGCCCTTATTTTTCTAAAATTTGGAATTTCGTGATCGGTATATATCACAAATATGTTAAAAATACTGAACGGTAGCACTATCATCTGCGTAATGTAATAATATCGCATATTGTCTGCTAGGATAAATCGCTTTAAGTTTATCACATTAAAGTTGAATTCATTTCGTGTAATAATTGCTTTCTTAATATATCTCTAATTTAATTGAACTTGATGTTTAAGATATCGCATGAATCGCTGCAACTGTTAAAGAAGCTAAATAGGAGAGAAAGAAAATTAGCGATCTATGGACTGGTTGATTAATAATTAATTTTGTTACGTTGAGCTTTTAGAATCCCTAAGAATTATAGTTGCTACATTACTGGCTTTAACTTACTAGACAGTAATAATCTAGCAAATTTAGCCAATTTAATTTTTTTATTCTAGATACTTATTCAATGGTCTATCTTTTTTAAATGATCGCTCACATTATTATTTACAATTTCTTTATCGATCAAACTCACAGATTGTTCTATCATCTAAGCATGTATCATTATCCATTTAGTGTCTAAATTTCTTGCGCAGTTAGGACTATTTGTATAGGTAGTTGCTACGGAGCAAAGCACCGTACTTGCTAATTAAATAGATTTTGTTAGTATTTAGCTAATGGATCATATTTGTGTGACCGAAAGTAGTAAAGAACTACCATACAGTAGATCTCCAGGTGTGGTGGAGCAAGGCATAAGTAATCTATTAGTTTAGTGTAGTAGTTTGCAACATAAGTTTGTGACAGTAGTACTTTAGAGCAATTTATCTATGCATACTAAGCAGACCATAAATATGTGGCATTTGCATTACAATTCATTTCTATAAAAATATTTCAAACTTATTACAAAGTACATACTACGTTCTACTTAGCCTATCTAATACCATTATTGACAACCCATATTCTATTAATTAATAATTAATGTAATTATACCTTACGTCAACTAAATATACCGTACACATTGGCGTTACTTACCAGTAATCGCTCCATAATGCAAGTCAGGTGATTACTCTATATATTACTATTAACATAGCACACTATTACTTGTGGATACTATTCAAGCTTTCTATAGTGAATCTAATGCAATAGATTACTGATTATTAATTTATGCTATTTAAATAATACCAATACTCCCATGGCATTTACTTCAATTCGACGCTTGATAAACATCACTTACCCGCAGGCATCATTCGAAAACAATGTGACTTTATTTTTTATTTACAAATCATTTCATTATCCAGCATTATATCTTATAAGCGTCGCCCAGTAATATATCATGGGTTGGCCATAAGTCGATTCAGCAATTATATAAACTTGAATATTAATGCCAAAAAAACGAATCCTTTTTGATTATGCAACACTTTATTGCAAACAAATTCAAACAGTAGCATTTATTTTAAGAAATTGTTTGTTAGCAATAACCAAAAATATTTACATCTTGCTCACTTATTTTCATAGGGTTGCGTAGCAATGTTGTAACCTTCCTCGAATAAATCAAAATAGTGCAAAACTAGATTCGTTGAAGGAACTTATAAACGCTATCATGAACTAGGCCATCGAATCAAATATCAGATAATATACTATGAAATGCTACTAATTTTACTGTCACTATTTTTTAACTCACACCTTAAGCTGTGACGTTTATAACATCAATTAAAACTTATCGAGTTCACTTTAATATTTTCCATTTTTGCTTATCAATCATAGCCTCAAACTAAGTATTTATTTACTTGTAACGACCAGACGTCGTCATAATACCGCATAATTAGATAAGTATCTTTCATAGATATTTATAGGTTTTCTTGAATTTAATCCACTAGCAATAGATTTTAAATAGAGAAATTATAAATCTTTACAAAACCACTCACAAAACAGAATATTTTTACCTAATGAAATGTAACTTAGTGCTTTTATTTACTAGTACAAAGTTGTATCACAGTTGGATTTCTACACGATCTAAATATCAAGAGGATAGTTTAAGCTTTCCTCATTTAAATAGGTGGGTGGCCTTTCGCCAATCATCATTTAATATTGTACTTACGATAATATATCATCTTAAACAAACAGGTTGTTTTTCTCTAATATTTTACAAAGCTATTCTTTAATTATATAGCGTCTCTATTGAATGATCACTTTATATTTTGATTTCCGACTTCATTTACATGACAATACTAGGCTTGGGCTAGTTAATAAATAATTAAACCTTCTCCATCAATCAAATTTCTTCTTCTTTCTTTTAATAAATTAATGAGGTCACTGATACTTATGTCATCCAGCTATTTCTAGTGTCTATCTAATATGATTACTTACAGTAACAAGTGATTGTCGAATTGGTAGTCAAGTAAATTATGTTATGATGGTATAAAAGCATTGTTAAAAGCAAGCCATGATAGCGCACATTATTGCATTGACCAAAGGCAGTGAATAACAAGTCAGCTAATAGAGATTGTTAATCATTTGATATTATTTAATCAAATCCGAATCAAGATTAACTTTAAGTCGATCAATCCTGAAATAGTACGACATCTTTTGTTTCATTGAAGGGGAAAGAGACTATCGTTGGCCTGTCAATACGGTAGAGGAAGTTGTAGTGTTAAAGTAAGAAATAAAAGCTTAATGAAGAAAAAATAGAAAGATTAATGCAAGACTGAAATTAGCGAAAAAATATACAGGAAACTTTGATTACCTATCGAATAGTAACGTTCAACGGAAGTAAAATCTTCATTTTCAACGTGCTAACAACTATAAAAACCCGACAATTACATTTTCTGCTAACAGCTTAAAGGTCATCTATCAAAAGTGGACTAGCGTGATTTGTTCTCATAAAATATAATTTAAAATATTTTTACTAAAGCCAATTCTATACCTTGGTTCACTTGACTCTATAATAGAAAGTCACTAGTCTTTGTTTGCGGTTAGGCTCGTAAAGCATCGTGAAAGCGTCTATAAAAGAATCTTAAACGATATATAATTCATTCATAAGAATTCTTTCTTATTGGTCTTAGTAGAAAGAAAGATTGGTATATACCTATTGATACGAAGACCTTTAACCACTATTTTGTTACTAATCCAATTTGTACACTTAAACAATTTTTGCTATCGTTATTAAATTAGACTTTAATGTGAATTTAGTGGCCGGCAACAAATTTTTTCGACATGGCCAATGTTTCTGGTAACGTAACATCTACACCTGCTGCAGTTGCTCCGCAAGTAGACCCATGGCTTGGTCTTCGCGTTGGCATCGGTACTGCTGCATGTATAGTTTTTATACTTGGATTTTTTGGTAATCTAACCATTCTCGTCACCATTATTAAAAATAAAAGAAAAGGTATGAACACCTTAATGTACTACTTGATCTGTAATTTAGCAGTCTACGACATATTAGTCATGATTATTTCGTTACCGATGACTATCGTCCAAGATTTGGCATTCTATTGGGTTTTTGGTCCAGTTTTATGCCGTATTACGCTTGGCCTACCATTTTTATTTGCAGCAGGCTCAATTACAACTATGGTAGCTATAGCTATCGATCGTTATTTTGTTGTACTACAAGCAGCTAATCCTAACCCAAAGCAAGGCAAGAAAGGTTTAGTGACTTTGATCATTTTCATTATAGCATTTTCGTTTGCTTTGCCTTCTATTATTTACACTCAATATGATACATCAGTGCCAGGTTACCCCCAATGTGGTATCGAATTTTCAACTGATCCAAATCAGCAAATGGAGTCTTTACGAATCTATACGATTGCGATATTTGTCATCCTTTTTATCACTCCCTTACTTATTGTTGTCTGCATATACTCATTAATTTTATATGAGATACACCGACGTAACAATAAAGCTAATCTTCACTATAATCGAGCCTATGGTAAAGCTAATCGCAAAACCATTAAAATGATGTTACTAGTATCGGTCACATTTATAATGTGTTGGATACCATTATTTATTTGCTTCTTTATTATTGCGTACGGAGCAGTAACCAACCAAACTCGTATAACTTTCTTCTTTATTTATGCTGTAAGCCATTTAGTAAGTTATTGCAACAGTGCAGCTAATCCGTTAATATACGCTGGATTTACCTCAAGATTTCGAAAATCTTTATGGTATGTGTTCTCACTTCAGATAGTAAAAGAAATCTCAGAGCACCGCTGTGGTTTGCAGTCACGAGAAACGAAGGTCATGCGATTATCAGTTAGTAAAAGACAAAAATCAGAGCACCGGCAACTTTAAGCCGATGATAACCTACCTATTAGTTTATATTTTTCTTATTCCTTATCTCAGTAACAAGCAAAAGTTAAATTCCGACTTTGACATTACTGATACAAAATCATCTATTACTGATGCATATCAATGAAATATGACATCTCTAACCACATTATCAACGCAACGTCAATCGAATTCCAACATTTACTGGAACCTATATGGCTGGGTATGATGTAAATACTGTTATTTCGATGCTATTTTATGGAATAATGCAAACAATTTGTTTATCATTTAGTTCAATCTCCTATTTTAAATGCTGTACGCATATTTAATGCTGATTGGTGATATAAATTTATCCTACAGTTCTATTATACCGTTATTTTTGTTGAAAAACTTGTACTTTTTCTGATTAGAAATCGATTATGTAGTTATGTGCTTATATAACTTTACACAGAATTCGGTTATAAAATTGCTAGGAATTTAAAGTAGAATAGAATGTTTGGATTACATAGAAATGACAAAGCATCTTTCTATTAATGCTAGCTACACTAGAATTCCAGTATTGAATGACTAAATGTAAGGCTAATAAATTTTGGTAATAACTAGATGGTAGCCTTTCAATATTCATGCTAGCTGTTATTTAATGGCCTCCTTTAACTCAAAAGGCGTTAACCCTTCAATAGTTTATCTAGCCAATATATATGTAAATATATATATATGTATGCGCCATATGATCCAACTATTTTGGTTTCTATAATGAAAATGTACAATTGCATATATGCTTATAATTTTCTTTCTTATTAAAAGAAATTTGCTATAGTTAATTTACGCAAGTCGAAAATGACATATTAATGCACAGATACTGATGGCACTTATTACCTATAGGAGGTAACTTCAACTACAAAATGTTTTCAGTGAATTGATAGGACTAGAAATTTCAAAGTTTATCTATTAATAAATTTACTATCTATTATATCAATACAACGATCTTTTTAATTTAATAGGAATTATTCTCAATTATGATCATTACCATCCATAACGGCGATCAAGCATAACTTAGGAAATATATACAACATTTTCAGAAATGAGTTGCTATTAATTTATTGCTTCTAGCTTAATTTGGCATGAATTTTTTAAACATAAATTTACTGTGTACTTTTACTATTATTTCCAATTAATTCCCCAATAAATTCAGTTTTTAACTATCGCTTATTCCGTGGATTACAATAATCTTCTGATAGATAACAAGGTTCCTCACTGTAAATATAATTAAGAGCTGTAGTTTAAATTGCTATGATTTATAATGTTACAGTCTAGTTCGTATCAACAAAAGTAAAAATTTTTTATTGGTATTTGCACATGTACGAAAATTAAGTCTTCAATTTACTATTTTAATCATTTTCTATTCTGCCTTGCTCTATTATATTAAGAAGAAAAATGGTTTAATAAAATGTAGTATAAAAACAAACTGAAAGCATATAAAAGTGCTGAGTTTTATTCCCAAAATCGACGTATTTTCTTAAAAACAAATTTATATCGTTGTTAATGCAAAATATTTGCCGAATATTAAAATTTGCATCTGCAAGTCATATTCTATAATGATCCTCACACTTTTAAGATACACAAATGTATGTCCCAATGTAGAAAGGTACAGTAAATTAAAAGATTGAAGTTGACTTTTAATTAAAAATCGGAACACATAAGACATAGATTTTAACTCTATTTCTATTACATACTATACAATACTTAATTAATCTGTCATGATGGGAAATGTTATGATCTATTAATAAATAAGCGCACAATTGTACTATCAATGGATATATGTAAAGAACGATTCTATCTGGTAAAAATAAAGTCAAATACCGTCATTATAGTTCTAATACCCGGATGTCATAATTTACCGCTTCGCTAAACTTTGCGTGATATTGCTGAATCTTGCATTATGTAGCTGCCTGTGACTGTATTATCTCTGTCGGCGAAAGTATAGAAAATTTAGCTAGTATCAGTAGTATCGATAAAAACAAAATATACAAAGGCACAATATTTTGATGCGATAATCTATTAACCTTATATAGAGAAATAGTTAGAGGAACAAAATCTCTATTTTAATAGCTGTCATTTCAGTCATTTCCACAAAAATAAGCTTATATTTTTACTTATTTAGAGTTTTATTTTTCTAATACATGCCAAGTTTTAGAGCAATGAGGCCTTAATTTCACAGACTAGTAAGTAATTAATATCTAAAAGCAATTCTTAGGAAGTATAATAGTCGGAAACTGTTATTGACATTTGAAAATTTGTTATTCAAAAGCCGATGAGAATAAGGCAAATGAAATTTACGCATAATTACAATTACCTTCTGCTGCAAATAAAATCAAATCTTTGAACCGACATAATCAAGATAATAATATCTATTACCGGTATTAACAATAGTATTTAGTAAAGTCAAAAACATCGAATTGGTCAGATAATTAATTTAAGTATAATAACCCTAGCGATGGACAGCTTCCTCGAAATTAAATCTTATTGTACCTTTATTTCCTGCTAATAGCATCACAATGAATGAAAATTTCTGACATCTCTAATATTTATGAATTATACGCGTAAATGCTCATATGCTGAGCTAACAGGATAAGTGGACAGTAAAATCTAAAGTTGCCAAAGTTAGTGAACCTTAAAGTGTACGTTTTTGCCTGGCGGAATCAATTTTAGGTGAGATGAAAGTAGCTGCGCGCACAACATGGTCAATTGCCGTAGTTTTAGATTAGACTAAACTACACAAATAGCAAATATGGACAAAAAACTAAATAAGTACTATGTATCACCTCAGTACTAATATAATAATTAATTAGTTTGATCAACAAACGAATCTTCATAAAGATCTATTAAACTGTACTACCAATAAATGAGTAGCAATCATTATCTGAAATAATTTCTTCTACTTGCACCATGGAATTTAATCTTTTCAGACTCTAATACTATATTTATCACGTAGTTTCAAGATTACGACATAATTTAGTAAATTTAATGCCTGTTACATTACAGAATAAATTTCTGCGACATAGTGATAGTTATAATTAATGCTACCTAAAGAAGACCAATAGATCAGGTACCTTACATTAATATAATTGTCCCTTATGGTTTCATAATAAATATGATAGCTTAACCGATACCTTGTAGATTATCTGCTCTACATTGTTGGAATAGCATAGTCTTTTAGTCTATGTTGCCAAAATACCATCTAATTTGTACTTTAGGATTTAGCTTTGGTAAATACAACTGTTCTGCACGTTATATAAATTACAGCGATTTACGTTATTTATAACATAAATGACAATCTATATAAGCTGTGCTTAAATTTATCAAATAAAGTAAAATTTGATTCTTGATTGACTTTATCATATATAATGCTCTACAAGATTTTATTTCTGATCCTTTCTTTATTCTATATGTTTACATTATTTATCTGTCATATACGGCGATTAATAGCTCTTTTTTTCCGCAGTAATTTTAGTATTGAATAGCTACCGTTTCTATTTATCGCTTGTTCTGTGTAATTTCTAATTGGCAAATATATCATTGCATACGGTTATTACAGACTTTGTCCGATACTTAATTCTATAAAATTCAAAATTAAAATCACTCGGTCTTCGTGGCAATCTAATCGTTTATTAAATATTCTTTACACCTGGCATCAGATAGCGTATGAATAAAATGATAATTCATAAATAACGAGCCATAATTTTAACCATTTAGGTAGACAATGCAGCAAACCTAACTGTCTTTTGCTGATAATTAATTGTGTTAGATATTTCCACGGTGAATCTAATTGACTAAAGCTTAATTTTCATGATGCTATTTACTGTAAAAACCATACACTAGAGCCATGAAAGCATTTTAGACAATAAATTACTATATAATTTACACGATCACACTCTAATTAATTTGTAACTGTTTGCGAAAAATAATTTAGAATTTTTAATTGGGGCCTTATTTTATTGTAAACTACCTTCAATCTAACAGACTAATGGCCTAAAAAAAATCTGTGATACATAAAAAGTTGGCCCAGATTTACTTTTAGTGACATCATTTCATAGTTTAGTTTTAATGTCAAGTAAAATACATTATCATAATCGTTAAATTTATCGTACAAATTGACCTTTCTCACACGGTTGTATAATTTCACTTAAACTATTTTGAGCTTGCTCTGCCCCATAGTATTAACTCTGCTAGCCTTTTTAATAAATACGAAAACGAATGCTGCCGATTTACAACATGAATAAATCAGCAGATTTGCTTATATAGTAATTATTTTAATAAAATACATCATTGTGGCAGTGTTATATACTGTATAAGAGTAGAAATAGCTATGTTAGGATAATTCTGTTAGCCTATCCTTATTTAGCTAACTTCTAATTTGGATATACTGTGTTTTAATATAGCACTGACTTTTTATGACAGTAACACTTATACACATACTGAAATTAATAGTTATAATAGGGAATGCAAATCATCTACTTACACTTCGAATCATTGTGATTGTAATTTACTTATGGTAGATTGTAAATTATTGTGGAAATGTCCCGTAATAGGACATATCGTAATCTGACTATTCTGTATTAGCCACCAGATGTCTATGTTCGTAAATACTGTTGTCTGCATTAAGGGAGCAGTACCTATAATTAATATCTAATTCAGTAAATGATTCCAAAGTTAATCGTACTAACTATGACTCATGAACTCTTGAGGAATAGTATATAAATGTAGTAAATCGTGTAATAAAGAGAATTCTCAAACTTGGTGTTTAACGTAAAATACGAGGCGCCTAAGTCTTAGTGTAGTCTGCTAGTAGAGCAAAAATGTTTTTGATAGAGCAGATATCGTTCCTTAATACGTGGTTCAAGGAATTGACTTATTGATCGTATATTGCGTTATCTTGTTGCAAAGCTGTTTTGTGACAATCATGCTGCCCTTCGATATACAGCTTTTGAAGCTTTAGGAATGAAATTAATACATAATTATGTAAT